GCACAAAAAAATCAGCCCTGTTTGACAATTTTTTTCAATGTTTTGCAAAATTCACCCTGTCTTGGAAGACCTGGAGGCAACCCTTGGAATTACTGCCACATTGATTTGAAGAATTCTGAGGGGAAAGCTGGGCTACAAAAAAATGCAGGAAGGGCGCCTCATCTGTTGGGTGGATAGCAAAACTCTGCCAGGGTGAATTTTGCAAAACATTGAAAAAAATTGTCAAACAGGGCTGATTTTTTTGTGCCAAAGAATATGTTTGCCCTAAAGAATACTTTTTTTCAGCTCAATTATGACGCCATTTTCATTTTCATTATGAGAACTTTTGTTAGAACCCTTGTATATGACGAGTACCAAGGGGATGCTGAACATGGTTCACTGCATTATTCGTTTACGTAACCGTTATTTGCTGGACTTCGAACCTGAACAGGATCTCATCCAAAACCTGGCTTCACAACCTCTTTTTGGATTATACAGTAATACCATTCTGAAAGTATACTTTTACTGCAGTTTTCATCGGCACGTTGCAATGAAGTAGAAGTAATGGCATACGAGTAATTGCATGAAATTGATTTCAAGCTTTCTTTCAGGAAAACACTAACTTACCCTCACATACGTATAATAAAGCAATTTGTGCCTCGAAAAAAAAGTTCATTAACACGTGTAGTTATAGTTATGATAAAAACAAGGCAGATTAATTTCCATTCAAATGGTACATGCATTCCAAGTAACAATTGTTGAGTCGTGAGAAAACTGTTCAACTTCCCGAGAAATGAAAAATTTACTGTTTCTTCTGTCATATTTTCTCACGTGAAAAGTATTCTTTCAATTTATTGAATGTTCACACTTGTACACTTTTTCTCGCAGTTATTTTTTCTCTTCCTTGAGAACTAAAATACGCGTCCAGCAAAGTTTCTCGAATTGATCTCTGGCTTATTGAGAAAAGCTAAAAATCATTCTTCAACCATTTCTGAAAAAAAAAGTACAGTTATTCGGGCTAAAGACATGGATCTTTGATAAAAGTTCCAAGTACATGACTAAATTCGTAAATGACACCATGGTGCGATTTTCACATGCACGTAAAACCCTAAGTTCCCGATAGGCAAAATTTGCAGAGGGTGACCCCGATTGATTTCTGTTACAATGGTGTATAATGCGCGGTCCAATCTGTGCATGTAACAAGGTGGTGAAATTCTAGGCCTTGAGCTACTGGATCATTGCATTGACATGATGCTAAACTTGGAGGCAAATGGTACTTTTTCCCAAATTAAGTCACTCCCTTTCTTTTGCAAAGCACCAAGACAATTTTTCATGCTTTTCTCCTTCCTGGGTTCCCAGAACAATAGGCTAATGCAGTCCAAGGCCACTCAAATTTCAGTTGCAGAGGCTTGAGAAGGAAAGTTGCTGAATTAGGGAGGTCTATACAACATTTCTCTTGAGGGAACTTTGTGACTCTCTTCATGAGAAAAATCTCTGGCAAAAAAATAAGCATCCACTAAAAATAAGGTGCTCAAGTCACCTGGAGTCTTCCTATCGTAGACTATGTGTGGTTGGAATTATAGCGGTAACTCAGATCTTGTCTCTAGATGCTGAACATCATTTTTAAAATCAGCAATGGTATCCTTCATACTTCTTTCAATATAGTGAGAGAAAATAAAAGAAAAATCGTGCTTCACAGGCTTACAGCCATTTGCCTGTCAGAAAATAATTACCAACCGATTTAAATAATCACAAATTCGTATGGTGGCGTTCAATATTTGACAGAATGTGTCCCACATATCGACAATAGCTTCCTGAAAATTTGAAGGTATGATTCATCAGACCATCATGGGAGCGCGCACAAGGACAAATCCGGCCGTGAGTTGGAAGGATTTTAGACATTCTCCAACAGTCACTATAACGAATTTCAACTGGATTTTTGCACAGGCTTCCTTGATTTTTGAAACGTCAACATCCATGATATTCAGTAAGATGTGTGAACATCAGTTGGGGGCATTTTGCTTTGACAGGAATCACTCATCATACTTGAAAACTATTAATCAGCGCAAATTCACCTTTATTCTCTCCAGTCATTCGATTATTCCGAGTTTCCATTGCAACCAAGAGCACCAGTTCAAGGTACATACAGCGGAATTCTGACGTGTTTTGATTTTTGAAACATTAATGTTTTTAAGTGATTTAAAAAAAAGGATAAGTGAAACCAGCAGTTCCCGCATTATAAAGACGCCATAATACACACGAAGTTTTATATTGAAAAGCAAAGGGGTACATTGCAAAGCGAGCCCCAACACGACAAGTTTTGATTAGCGTTTATAGCGCTCAACTTGAATCAAGCGACGTCATCAATGACCAGAGGGCTTCAACAGAATAAGGAACCTACAGATCAGTGACATTTCCCAGGAGCCCGCAGCAAATGAACACCAATACAACATCACGTACGCGTCTTTAAGGGAAAAACTTGCTCGCACTCAAAAGCATGGATGTAGGAATAAGATTTCCACCTTTGGTGCATTTCAATATTTCAAGAGAAGGCTTCAGCTAGCAGTCTACGTTTCACTAGGAAGACGAAACTCGTGAGGCTCGTTTGCACTGCGTGCGACACTGAACAACACTGGCATCGAATGCCTGGGTTCCCGCCAGGCCCGACCGCGGCTAAAAATATCCCCGCGGCGCATGACAATTCATGACTGGTCGGATAGCCCGCCCAGAATACTTTCTCGCCACCGTGAGTCCCATGCGACCCACGGTGTTCGCAATAAGGGAAGCATCATCATCATGGACCCGCAAAGCTACAGCAAGCTGGAGGTCAATGCCAATTTCCCCCCAAGATCACATTACTCAACCCTTGGTCATGACCAGGGGCTGAATATTTGACTTCCAGCTTCTTTCGACTTCCAGTTGATTATGCTGCTATGCAGTGCTATACTTTAACATACTGTATAATACATTTACTTTACATACTGTACTACACGCCTGCCTCATTCAAAGAAATCAGGGCCTGTGGCTCTTCCCAATGTAAAATTTAATGGAAGATCTTCATTTAATCCCAGTCTAAAATTTGGCTATGACAAAAGACCTTGTCAGACTTCAATTAGATCTTCAAAAAATATGAGGATTCCAAGACATATCTCGAGTCCTTATAGTGTAATCCCTTACAGTTGTTTACACAGCATATGGGTCAAAATTTAATTCAAAGACAAATCACCAATTCTGCATTCAAGTAGGTCAGAATTACATTCTTTGACCAATACATGGCTAAAACAACTGCAGCTTTGAATGTAGAAGGGGTTGCAATAATGTTTCTCTCAGTTCAAAATTTTACACCATCCATGAATGCAGTTACAGTAATAATCTGTCAAGCATATTCTTTTTTGCTTGATATTCCCATTTTTCTTGAACAAAGAAATGATTTTACATCAACACATCAGGTTGATATCTTGACAAACTACTTCTAATTTACCTGGAGATTCACCAACAATAAATCTTCCTAGCTTCCTGCTACAGGTACTGAAATTATTAAGGTCAGTCCTTGGGACATTTTGAACAATTCCCTCATAGCTTTTTGTTGGACCACCTTGCCATATCTGTCTTGGAGAATTTTCAATATTATTCTATAGTGCACTGATTGATCTAGCCCATCAATTGAAATCATGAATTAAATGCTTGACCTTTGAGCTTGTTCATTAAATTTGATTGAATTCCCTCATTGGTATACACACCATCTTCCAACACACCTTGGAAATGGATCCACCATTCACTCCAAAGGTCCTTCCTTCTCTGTCAAAGGGAGGAGCCTGGCTCATTGCTATACTAGCTTGTTGGATATGTAATGATGGACCTCTTGGCTTTTTGAATTTTTCCACATAATGAAATACTAACTTGTTTGCTGCTGGATCAGTTACTTGATCAATTGTTAATTCTTGGTTAAACAGGACTTGTCTCATCCCTAGAGCTTTGACCAGAGCTTGTTTATTTAGCTTTATTTATTCTTTCAGATGTCTAGAGAATAAAAAAAGCACAGTGTCATCTATAAACCTTGAATGTAGGTCTATTTCGTCCATAAGGGTCTCTAAACTGGCAAGAATGCTCTTGCTAGTTTCTAGATGCCCATCAGGAGCTTTTAGAGCATCTTATCTTTTGTTAATTGCTGTCCTTTGTTCTGTTGCACTGATCAACTCAGCCTCTAATCTGTTTATCCCATCTTCAAATTATCTTTGGCAGTGCTTGGGAACTTTGGTCTACTCTTTTGGGGGTAAGTAAACTTGGACAGTCATGGATGACCAGACAACAGGAATTGTGCAACATAATGCTTCTGGTGGTTGCCAAGCAACCACCAGACAAATCGTGAGACAAGAAAGCCATACCAAGAACAGGGTATTGTGACCCTTTTCAAGGGCTCATTATATAACAATGTGCAACAACATAAGTTCAACAGCAAGTATCAGAGAAACTATGAGCACAGACACATGAAGAGGGAGGTGCCTTTATAGACTTTGCAGTCCAAGACTGGTCAGACCTTGTTTCAGGGCTAGTTGCAGTACTTGGCACCAGTGCATGACCAGGTGCCATGGCACATAATTGGGAATGTGAAAGCCAGGAAACATGCAACTACTGCACTTCGTACCTCATCTGCTAGCAAGAAGGAATGACAGAAAGTACTGTATTTGATGACAAATTAATTATAGTATTCAAAATGCAAATACTGTATTGTACCGCTGGGTAAGTCCGAAACCAAAGATCTTTCTTTTCCGCATACCCTCAGTTTTTAATAAATTCGGTTGACGTAGTCATACTCTAGTATGTATATTGATTCAATAATGGCCGGTACCAAGAAAAACTGGATCTGTCAACCTAGACAACATACTAAGAATCCACGCTGCCAACATCCAAACCACTCGGAAAATCAAGGACAATAAGTCATGCAGATTTTCCGCTTCCCTTCGCCACTCCTTGACCCACTCTCATTTCGCCAACAAATGTAAATTCGGAGCCAAACGAGGTGTATCTGTTTTCAAACTTTTAATATCACAACGACGACTCGACATCATGACTCGATGAAGCACGGCAAACAAAAACAAAGCATGTGTTACGACCAAAAGTTTCCAGAGTCATTCGTCAGAGTACAGCCGAAGGCATAAAAGCATCGTCACAAAGGGACCAACAGCAGTCCACCGGGTGTAGGACGCAACGCGGGGTGGGCGGGTGCGCGAGGACAGCTATTTTTCGGAAAACGCCCATGGGCTAATGCCACACTGGGATTAGCCCATCGATTCCTGATATTACTCCACCATGAATAAGATGCGCACAACGAATCTCGCTGACATAGCACGGCAAAAATAAATTTCGAATGCCTACAGCCGAAGTGCGTCACGACAACGAATTCATAAGTGCAGAGAACATCGCATTGACAGAAAATTAACCTCTCGCTCTCAAAAAATAGACGCTGTGGCGCGGAGAAAAAAGATAACCAAGTCAAAGATCACGAAAGACGAGTTTCCAAAGAATAATATTGTCTGCGCGTTGTGTTTAACGACCAAACGTCTATATCATCGGCGAAAACGCCAGTGCCGTTGCGGTGGATCCACTTGACAAGCAACATTCGAAAGGCCATTGAGCAATTTGTCAACGCCGTGAAAGAAATATGCGGCACATTTTTTGTAGAAAAAAACATTTTAAAATGAAGATGCATGATCTACGCAACAACAATGAAGATCTCTTGCACTTTATGGCCCACCAGCTGCTTTCAAACGGCTTTCCGAACCAAAATAAAAAAGATAACCGACTTGAAGAACACTGAAAATTGACGTTTCTCGTTTCAATGTCTTCTTTGGCTTGAGATCAGATTTGAAGCAGGTCCTCTGCATCCACGTATTTCAAATATAGAACAGCCTCACGTTGGACGTCGACACCAAGAGATCGCCATCGAAGAATTTAGTCTCGATCACCACATTCCCACTGCAAAAAAATATTTTGTAGGATGAAATGCTTTTTAGTCGGAAAGAAGTAAATGTTGCATGAAAAACACCATGGATTTACAACGAGGGTATTCTTGAGAATCCTCCGACTTTTCATAATACGCAAATTCGTCTTCAAGTCCAAAAGCCAAAGAATGATTTGATATTTTATGAGTCGCATGGAGTAAACTCATACAAGTACAGTACTGCATACGTTTGCAAACGAAGATATGAATGAATAGAAGATCTTCGGTTTCGCTTTAAAAAAAAAAACTCGAGTTTAAATTTGAAAGCAATAATGAAGTCCGGATTCCGGAATGCAAGAGATACACGACTAAAAGCTGAGAGCCAGTACGACTAAAACTTCTGAAACGGCTCAATAAACAGTAATTGCATCAAAAGCTTCAACGTACGCATTTAAGACGGGAATTCGAATCATCGAAAAAATGTTTTGCATACCTGAGTACATTGGCTGGCATCATCTGTGCTTCAGGGGCTGCCTCTATCACACTCTGCCACGTGTTCGTGGAATTCGGAATAACGAAGCCGAATTCGAAGAACCATTCTTCTAGACAAGTTCCCTACACAAGAACGATCCATGAGCGATGCGAACAAGAATATAAAATTCACAAAACAAACTTACTTTAAACAGCACCCGTTGTTCCAATCTGAACTTTTCCATGGCCTGGGCTGAAGAGAAGTTGATTTCTCGTGAAACAGACCGACAAGACAGGATTTTTCTCGGGACTCTTGCAATGTGTTCAGTTCCAGGAACGGATCTGAAAATATGCGACACACTATTTCTCACCACTTTTCCCAAATCTTGAACCGTTTAGGCGTTTAAATCTAGAAATTCACAGTTTTCCATAAAAAAAAATCACATTTCATGTACGGTGCTGGAGATTTTAGATGAGTGGAGAGAAAAAATTACGTTTCACGTCTAGCGCTGGAGATTTTAGATCAGTGAAGGAAAAGACTCACAGATCATCGTTTCCCTGCCATAGAACTTTCCCGTCTTCAGCATCCCGAAGATTCATCCAGTTTCTGAAAAGAAAACGAACGAAATTATGAGTGAAAATTTCCGGGAATATTCGATTCAAATCGAAGCACTTACACTTTGAAACCATCTTGGATTTCCTGCGCTCTTGATGGCATTTTAATGCAATCTTGACTCGCGAGAACGTCAAAAAAGAAACCAACACCTAAGCGAAGAAATAAGTCAAACGTTCACTGGAAGGATGACGCACAAAAAACCGTTGAATATAAAACCGTCTACGGATCAAACGTAACACCTTCAGATGAGCATAATGCTTCATAAATCCCGAAAGACCTTCCTAATCCTCACTCAAAATGAAACAGCACAACTTGCCGGTTCCAACAATCGACAGCAACAGCATAGATAGCGAAACGAATCGGGATACAGCGAACTCCTTCCTTACACACGTACGCCGGAAGATACGACCGAAAGCTTCAAATCTCGCGATACCGAAGCGCAAAAAAAAAAGAACCAAACACCAGCCACGGAATTTCTCATCACGCAATGCGACACGAACCGAATAAAAGAGTCATGAATATTTTATCCAGAAGCCAGCTGGCATTTCCCACGAGCGGTTTCCTTCCCCAGCTTCCGATGTGCCACGCGACTTCGGGCATGAAATATTCAAGTACGATTGTCGGCTACAAGGAAGAAGGAAACTACGGGTTCGTCCTGCGCAAGAACCACATTATTTCCGAGTTCCCGACGAAACGTGAGTCCTTTACGGCAGCCGAAATGCGAAGGTTGTCTGGTTCCCATGCCAATTCAGGAAAAATATCCTCATTTACTGTCCTAGCAAGACATACAGGCAGAATACGTTGATCTTCGTCTCGAACCTCAATAACACCGAGACCATATAAAAGTTGAGAAATTAGAAAAATGATGGATGGAGGAGGAAAAACAGATGGAGCAGAGCCAGCAGATATATTTGTTTGTTTCATGGTAACAGAGACAGGAAACCCCCCTTTAGATGGAAATTCTATTTGAAATAAACTTAGGAACCAGCAAAAATTCGAGTTAGAGAGGTTTTGAGTTCGGGAAACAGGCATTCTTTTTTTAGAGAAAAGAAAGAAAAATTAAAGAATGTTGTAATTGGTGGCATTCTGGACCTTGAATTGCTTTTTAAATAAGTTGACTGGATGCAGAACTTGGAGACAGGGGTTCTTTCGCTCAAAAAGTCTTCCACTTCCTTTCAAAATGTATCAAGTTACTTTTTAATCGCTTTTCTCTTTCACGAGTCCAAAAAATAATAGCCAAAAAGACTCCAGAAAATTCGAGTAATGGAGGCTTGCGTTTAGGGCTTCGAGTATGGGAGGTTTTCAATGCATTAATTCCAAGGGATTTCAGACGGGGTGTTCTAAAAAATTCGACTTCGGGAGGTTCGAGTTACCAAGGTTCAACTGTACTATATTTTGAAATACTCCACACTAAATACCCGTCAAATGCTTTACTTCGCGCGGAAACTAGACATCCCTCGCATTTCCAAAAAAATGTACATCTAAACCAAAACCTCGGCATTCTGAGACAGTGATAAACCACAAAATATGAACGAGCCTTTTCAAAGCGAAAAAGCACTGTTTGGGCATACGGTAAGTACAATACAATAATACATCTCAAAAGCTTAGTCCATCTATTCAACCCAATTTGAAACCCCTGTATCTATCGTGTTCGGCGCTGAATGCAAGCAATAACCGCGTAGACGAGTCAGATCCTTCGGATCACCATTTCAGTATTGTGTACGAAAAATAGCTCCTTACCTCAGTTTCCGGTGAACATACCAAAAGAAAAATCCTGCGACGTCCCGAAGAAACTGTTTTGGGAAGTTCAACGAAGCTCAACCGAAAGAAACTTCGCGTTTCTCATGGTTCGCATAAAAGGGGCATTCTCCACTACTTAATTCAAAAATCACAAAAATTGACTCTCTATCAATTTTTTTCGGCTCAAGTAAAACTGCGCCAGCTAAAAACAATAAAAGAGGAGCCGCAATTTTAAAGAACCTATCACCCGAATGCTTCACTGATAATAAAACAGGGCCACGCGTACTTAACCGCTAACCATGTTCGGCAAGAAAAATCGACCGTGATGTTTAACGCTGAGGATATTGTACACAAAAGAAACAAATCACCAACCTCGTGAAACAATGGTGTGTTTTTCGGAGCATTCCCAACGAAATTCAAGATGAAAACAAACAGTTACGGGATTTTCGGTGGACACAGTGCAATTTGTCTTTCGTTTGAAGCCCGATTACGATGCAAATGTATTCCGATTTTATTTTCGAGAGTAACATATTCCTCATCAAGAACTTGCAGCAAGCTAAGCAACCAAACCTATGGCCAGGTAAAGCTAGGTTACAGTAGTTTTTACGACGTTTTTCTTGACAAGTTTCCGGAGCAAAGGCTGCTTTCAAAAATAACGCCAAGAACCACACTCGAATTTACGAATAAAATCGGAACACTTCTCTGCCACGATCAAATCTTCATCGATGCATCGCCGCAGCAAAATAATGAATGTGGCTTGGCGGTATAATGATACGGAGAATTCCTCAAAATTGCACCCAACTGCTGGTGTTCGCTGCCGGTGCAGCAGAAGTGGTTGAAGTCCTCCTGAAATTAAGTTGAATTCAAAATTAATCGAAAAGAAAACATAGCGTTACAGCTTTCAGTTAGGACTGAAATAAAGCCGTGGGAAGCGCGTGAATAAAGCAAAAATTAGACAGCAAGCGATCGCCGTAAACATAACTTGAAGGTCATGAATTCATACCGTGGGCTTTATGTGATTTTAGAACAACAAAAGCGTGGAACATCGAGGAGATCTGGTTACATTATTACGGTACTGCAACAAAATTTTTTTCCGAGAGGAGGGACACTGTGAAAGAAGGCGAAACAACATGAACATTCCAGATCAATGTACAATATTCGACGCCTACTAAGAGTAAGATAAATTTTCAAAAATCCAGTGTGATTATTATTAGTCTACAAAAAACCACAGAAAACATGTTTTGCTTGAGAGTGACACTTGTTTTCCTCTCATACATCTCAATTAGAAACAATCATGTTCGTTCTGGGAACGCCATCATTATCCTCCCATTCCGTAGGTGCCAGTCATGAGTCCCAGTTCAAAACGGACCGAAGAGAAGGCGTCGAACATGTGCCAATATTTTTTTATCTTCTTTCACACGTTCCCGCCTTCCTTGGACACGAATCAATTACTGTACTGCACTATAAGTTTCGCAATACTACGAAATATTCAATTAGTTTCACACCTGGCGAAATTCGACTTCAAACAGACAAATGCGATTTTTTTACACATTGCAAGCAAGTGCGCAATCGATAACGGCGTCGTAATATAATTTTCGCACATTTCGAACACGACTTACGTGGAAGAAGATATTCCAGAAAACTCTCCCCAGTCGTCACCTCCTGTAGCGGCAAAGGGATTCGATGAAGCGCTTCCTGAAGATCCCAGTTCACCGAAGAGATCATTTGTCGGCTTATGAGAAGGAGATCCCACGCCACCGGGTGGAGGAGGAAGTTTGATTCCACCTGGCGGAGGTGGAAGGATCCCGCCACCGGTTCCCTTCACACGGGTCTTTTCCGACTTACTAGGGTTCTGCAGAAAAATAAAATAGCATCATCATTCCTTGTCGACAGACAAAGTCACAGAATCTTGTGATCACTTTTTTCATGAAACACTTACGGCGAGGTTCATTTTGATGTTGATGGTCTGACCTTCCTTGAATTTCAGATCAAGCTGAGGAACATCTTCCTCCGGTGCATTGTCGCTATCTTGACACTTCTTAAGATATTTGAAATGATCCTGCAGAGCTACATTGAGGTCGAAACTGTCCGATCTATCTGCGAATCCGATGCCTATGTACGCTTTTTGACCTGAATTTCAGAAAAAAGTATACTGTACTTCAAAAAGGCGCGTAATATTCCTCGAATAGCAAGTCCTTCACAATACTGTACGTCTATTTCGGGCAGTTCAGAGGAACATGTCATATTACCAGAATCGTCTTTGATGTGAATGACGAAGTACCGTGAAGAATCCGTCACGGGTTGCACAGACAATCCTGGGTACGCATCAATTGGGCATTTGGCGAACAGCTCACCAGAAAGCTTATCTTCGAGCTTCAACACGCAATCTGCGGCATTCATTTTTGCAACCAGACGCATTCTTCCAGTCCAATCTGGGACGGCAAGATTCCAGTCTGAAGCACTACACCACGGAAACCATTTCTTTGTTCAGTGACTTGTGCATTCGATACATCACAACCACAGAAATGATCAATGCACATACCAATGAAGTACAATATATTTTGGTATAATATTTACTGTATGGGTTTAAATTCACGATTTGCACACTAATCCTTGAACAGTGTTCCAAAAATATTGCGTAATATTCAAGTTTCAAGTCCCCACGTTTTGGATGGATTCCGCACAAACAATTAATCTGCACAGTTGCCATGCCCAGCAAGCTACTTGAAGCTAATGCGTAATCCTCGAATACTCCAATAATCCCCACTTTTTATTAAAAGATGAGATTCAAATTCATGGCAAAAAACTTTTTCTGAATCTGAAGTCCAGTACGGCTCAAGAAATTACGGACTGCATCCATAATCCGAATCAAAAATAAAATGACATACCGGTACTTATGACAAGCATGTACTGCCCACCGGCAAAATATACTGAAATAGGTTTTAGATCAGAAATACAATTCTTGGTAACAAAAACTTGCCCGTGAAATCAAAAAGCCTGGTTTTTAAAAGCGATTCTCAAAAATTCAGCTTGTAGATATAGCCACACTTCAAACATACACTACGTTCACTTGAGGCCACGACTAGACAACTTAACGCTTCTTTATCTGGTAAGTTCAAAGATACAAAATAAAGAATAACCTCTTAAAATTAAAGTAAACAATTTCACTCACCGGTAACCTCGAGCAGTTGATTGCCTCGGTGGAATGTTGTACACGAGAACCTCGTTTTTAACGAGCAAAATGCTTTCATACTCATCCATCGCGACGACCTACAAGCGGACCTCTCAGAATAAGTCTACTTCACTTCTGCTTACTTTCAACTGAAATTTTCACGTACATCACCAGATGCGAAAAGCTGCCGGAGTCCAAAAAATCAATTCTATGAGACACCACAACGCAAACAAAGACAATGGTAGAAAGAATTCTCACACCTCCATGTTCTGTCACACAGTCGTCAACCGACGCCCATCTTCTAGGCTTTCATTAAAAAAAAGGAACTACATAACATACTCTTCCGCCGAAAAATCGGTTGCGTATCCAATGGCATGTAGGTAAGACTCGAAGTAAAACAAAAACGGACGGGACGAACAAACCAGAAACAGAGTTTTCTTGACCAAGTGGTAATATAGAATTGCACTGAACAACGCAAACCAAAGTTTAAGGTCTTAAAAAAAACATGCAAAAATGTTAGATAAACAACTCGAACACGCCGACGGACCCTGTGGAGGGGAAAAACCTTGAATTCTCTAAATTCATTTGCAACGTCTCACGAGCTGTCTCCATTTTCGGAAGTTGCAAAGCACTCTTTCAGCCAACCAAAGGGGGCGAAACAGCGCACTTGTTGAACCAGATGAAAATATCAGTTCCATGCAACCAAGCCAACAATTCAAGCAATATAGGAGTATGAGTCGGCAGCCTCGGCACTCCGTTCGATATACTGCTTTTCGATCAAAGTTTCGGTGCACTTTTTGATCATGTTGATTGACGGATTGAAGCGTCCTTTCGCGTAATTTATCACCTGAATGAAATAAAGATCAATTGTTTATGTCAAACGGGTGATGACGCCTTAACCGAAGTTGATGAAATGTGAGCGAAAGCTTAGGTTGAATATAAATCGTGATTATCTTTGATTTCACGAAGAAAAACGGAAGATCAATTCGTCAACTAGAGCAACAGCTCACCTCCTCGATCAACGCATTGTGACGCATAACTTTCCGGGACTTCATAATTCTCACAATCGCAGCTTGCAAATAAAGTTTGCGATCCTCTTCAACCGAGGCACGCGTCTGCTCGATTTCTTGAGGGGTTTCCTTTTGACTTACAGCAGTTATCTTGAACCTCGTTCGTTTATTGGAGTAGTCCATGTTCAAACTGATGACCGCAGAAGGATCGCTGGGCTGCAAATCGATTGAAGATTTTCATAATCGCAGGAACTAAACACAGTGACTTGGGAGAGATCACGAACTTTTGACGTCGACGAGGCAGAAATTCGCACGAGGAATCAAAAAATTCGGAGAAGCACTTTTTCCATTTAAGAAAGGCTGAGCAAGTTTAGATTTCAAGTTTGTGCCTATCTATTGCAGAAGTTAAGGAAGACAAGAGAAAAATATGCGATGCCAGAGAAGATAAATGAAGAACAGAAATATAGACATGCAATGAAGCGAGTCAGACCCCGTATTCGATGCTTACAGAAACATTTTTCAGTTACGCACTGTATTTACAGGAGAGACCGCGAATATCCGTCTCGCTTTACGCATGGACTACGAACATTCCAAAATTCCAACCTTAGAAAATCACTGATAGATGAAGTGGAGCAAAGTAAATCTGGAAAATCCCTCACATCACCACTGGAAGTCAGAAGTTTCACATCGACTAGAGACGACAGCTGTCGATCGAACTGTTCTCCTTCAAGCAGAGTTTCTTGCATCAGGTCATGACGCGTTATACTCGAAGCGCGTTCGAAAGGCTGCATCAGCGCGATTTGACAAACCCCCATGGTAACCATGTACTGCCGCTTCAGATAGTTCAGCTTCAGTTCGCCTGATACGGATTGAAGACCTTGTAACTTCCACAAAATGGATTTTCTTTTTAAATTTAGCGTTACCATTCGCGATGTTGTAAAGCCAAGTGAGCTTCCTTCCACTGAATCGTGTTTGGTAGTATTCTTCGAACTAACGAAGAGTAAAACTCAGAAAATGACGGAATAAGTGAGGTAAGTGAACTCACCAGGGAAACACAACGAGCCAAATCCGGCGGTAACAATAACTGAATCGTGCTACTATTCGACAACGGCCACGCACCAGCCTACGCATTGAGCAAATACAAAAATATATATTTGATCATATGCGGACTAAAAATATGTTCTTACTTGCAAAACGTATATATGAAATCCTAATGGAAGAACAACATCATCCTTTTTCTTCAAGAAGTCATTGAACTTCGCGTTGTGGTCAGCAGACAAGGACATGTCAGTAAACATTCGATGTAGTTTGTTGGTGAACTCATAACCACAGACTTGCTGAAAAATAAATATCGCGTTCAAACACTGAAGCACGCAAAACTAACCTCAATAATTTATCGAAAACCTTAAATCTATTGATCATAGCTTCTTCCATGTCCATGGAAACCGAGAGCTGATGAATCAAACGCTTCGCCATCATCTTCGAGTAGAACTTCTGAAAAACGTCCTTGTCATCGAGGTACTTGAAAAGCGTGATCGACTTAGAAAGTTTATCTTCGATTTCGAACTCCGTGTTCAAAACCAGAGGCACAGACGGGGTTGGGACACCGTAAGTAGGAGAATTGACTGATGATGTCCCTGAATTAACAGCGGAGCTCTTACTTGACTTCTTGAGCAATAAATCGCAATATTTCGCCAGCTGTAAAAATAATTCGTACAGTATTTCGCGTCAATTTTTTCCAGACAGCAACGAAAACGTAGAAATTCGAAAGGACAGATTCATTCGACTCACCAATTCCGGACTTCGACAAGGAGCCTTTGAGTCTATACGTAAATTGATGATATTACTGAAGGCTTTATCCAATGCACCAGTGAAAACCTGGTCTGCGAAGAACACTTCCTTTATCATCAAACTGTATCTGTCGTGAACTTCGAGCAAGCTCTCAACGAAACCACCGGGAACCTAAAATAGGTCAATCTTGCACGTAAGCGAACACAAATAGAATATAATTCCGAAAACTCACACCATCCCCTTGTAGGCCTTTGATTGAATCTAATCCAGCGGATTCGATGTGTATTCTGAGCTCCTGAGCAACTGGATGCAGGGCACCGCGAATAGGTTTAAGAAGATTGTACAACATAGATAAATCTTTCCTCCTGTCTTGTTGAATCATGGCAGGACATTCTGAGTGGAAAAGCTCAAGGTGGGCTCCAACTAAATGGCGTTGACATTCTTCAGTGACTTTCGCGTGAGACCTGAAACGAAACAAAATTCCGAAATAGAAACTTAACCCAACGTGTGACAAGCACACAAATCTTTACACTTGATGCAGGAACTTCTGTGCTCTCGCAGTCTCATCGGCGATCATTTGGGTCACTTTCTTCATGTATTCCGAGACTGAGCATTCTTGAATAAGACGGCTTCCAGCCTCGGCATAGTAAGTTGCGGTTCTTTGCAAGAACGCGGTTTCGAAGACCTCCTTGTAGAGCTGTGAAAAATAATCTTCATAATAAATTTTATGGATTCGTGAATACATACAGATACAAATCGAAATTGAAGAGCACTAACCTCCATGGGTCGATCATCACTCTCCACTCTCACGAAAGAATGAATAATATCACATATTATGCTCTCACGGACTGACCCTGGACGACCTAGCCGATCATCATCGATGGCTTCAAGAAGCAGATGGGACAGTTTTTTGCGTAAAGGATTCGTAACACCCTTTTTCCATGCATCTAACGCTATAAGTTACAGGATTGACCGTCATCAGAAGGGTACACAAGATAATCTTGTACAAAAACAGTACGGTACCTAGCTCTCCTATTTCCATGATCACTTCAGCATTGTCGTGGCTTCCATAGAGCAGATCAGCGGAATAAATCTTCATCTTCTTGACGAACTGATTGTTCAGATACCTGTCCACAGAATACACGTGAGTCAAAGCGAACACGAACGCGATGAATGGACTTACAAAAACATGCAATTGAGGTACGCCGCGCCGCAACTATAATTAATCCAGTATTGATGAAATACGTTCAACAGATTATCTTGGTCCGCAGAAGCAACAACGCTATACAGCGTTTTCACGTGATTTTCGAAGAATCCTCGCATGTGATGATAGAGTTTCTCGGAATACGGCTCAGGGTAGGCGACGCATAATGAATACACATCCCTGGAAAAACCGGAGTAAAATTAATCAGTCAAAAGAAGGGAAAAACTATAAATATTACATGAAGCGATCATTCCAGACGGTTTTGTCAACAGCTTGTAAAGTGAGCACTCGATCACAACTTTCCTCTAGTCGCATCCACACTTCATCGAAGTCCAGCGCCTTAGGTCGTAACGACATGGTGCACTTCACCTGGGCATTAATGCACGCGTTTCTACAGAGAAAGAAAGAAACATCATCACATCTCAACCAGAAGATCACGAGAAAACTCCAAGAATGCGCAAGAAACACGCGTCCGCGGTATCTCCTACGAGTTGTCTTTCGTTCTCTGCTTTCCAGCAAGCCGCACCCGCGCATACGATGGGAGCTCATGGTTTGGATGTTGCAAACGGAAACATTAGACTCAAAACATACCATTAAATGAACCGATGGCAAAATTTGTTTCTTATTAGCTGTCAATCGAGTGAACTCAATTCTCTCGGAAACGAACAGGATCCGAAAAAGTAATTTTCTCATCATTGAGATGAAACCAGCAAGCCTAAATCATCATGGAAAACGCAGAGATTTGGCAAGAAAAACCAATTACAGTACAATACTGTACAACCCGAAGAAGGCAGAAGTTCAGTCTTGGAATAATTTACGATTCAAATTTTGTGAGCATGCTACTGTAGCTTGTGTAGAAGGTGCCTTACACTCTTACAGGCATGAAATCAATAATATCTACTGAGTTATTTAAATGGCTGCGTTGATTTGAACATTTATTAATCGGAAAATTTTTTGAGCGTTTCTGAGATTTCTGAGGCCATTTAATAGAATGTAAAACTAAACTGCCCACGCCATCAGGTTGAGAATGTTGAGCAATTTTAGCAAATAAATTTAATATGGGTGCCTTTGATTTGAATCAAATGTCTAGATTTGTAAAATGAATGCCAGTTATTATTTTAACCGTTAAAACATCCACATTATTTGCACATTTTAAAATAGCAATTCAACAATTTTGTTCAATAAGTACTGGAGCTGCTTATACTGCTTCTTTTTTGATATTGAAGTTATATGAATAACTACCGTTATATGTTACTTTTCATATTCTATCAAAAACACCGTCGGATGATATGATCGTGCATCATAAAGGACAGGTTCGGATTCCGGTCACGAAATTCCTGAAATATAATTGAGCTCTCAAAAACCTGCTCCTGATTATTGCCACATATTCACACGGACTTTGATTACAGCCATGTAAGCAGCTATCTATATATATATATATATCTGATGGATCCACCGCATTATAGCAGCAACAGTGTCGAATCTAACGGCTACCCTCATATTCTATACGTTTCTTGTCATACCCGCAAGCTTCCGGTCCTCATCATCGTAGAATCCTATGATAAAACATCTTTACCCGCGAGTTCCACGGAAAAAAGTGAACCTGGACATCACACAGAACTCAGCATACATGAAGGTTTCGAAAATTGTGAATCAGCAAGGTGGAAGACTGCGGAGCACACAAGTATCATCATAATGCAACTTTTCTTGTCAGAAAATATGATGCAGCATGTTATTGCTGTATGTGACGTACAGTACCATTATCTTCGCCATAGACTTAAAAGTGATGTGGTCTTTCACATTTGGTAACGTATGAACGCAGCTCCAGCATCAAAGGTCTACTTTGCTTGATTGGAAAATGTTTGTAAATCTTGAATGCAGAACATTGTAGTCAAAAATACAGTAATTTGATTGGCGCAATGAGAAAATTGCATTCCATTTGAGGATTTTTCGTAAATGATACATTTAAATTCCATTTTAATTGAGCATTAATTTTCCCGATTAAAAATTGGTTTTTTCTCCGCGGATCCCATAAGTTAATCTTCGAATGCATTAATTGTTTCTGAAAGGGCTCCAACGCAGGTTCTTCAGCAAAGGAAGAAAAACAAAAGTGTCGATTCAATTTAAGAACAAATTATGGATTCGCGCATTTGCGAGAAACAAATGATATTCATGTCCGCGTGACGAAATGGAAAGAACACAATAACGACAGCAATTTTTCATGAGTCATTTTGCTCAAAAAATTACAATCTTATTTCTGTCCGGGTTCATTCTAGCTGTACGTACTGTACAGAACTCGTATACAATTGTTCACCCACATGGGAATTTTAGAAGATGCAGAGGATAATTTGAACTTAATTAAACTATCAGTCGAACATTTCGAAAAACTGATGAGAACTTAAAATTCTTCGGCACTTTTCGAACTAGAAGCAATTCCTTAGAAATCGTAATTCAAACATAATATTGTACATTAATGTACTGTACAGCTGCATAATAAAATATGTCGAGTGTATGCATTTATGCAGAAAAACCTTCTGGTAAAAATAAAAAAAAGAAGTTTCATATCTAACATTCGAAGTGCACCAGAATATATATTTTGAACTCTTTTACATATACGGCCTACCACTACAGCTCATTTCTGAACACATCGAGCAGCGTCACAGCACATACGTTCTCGATTTTACATTTTCTAATTTACCAGATAGATTTCTTTCAAAACCTTCCATAAGGATTTTTTTAAACCCGAGTCCAATTTTTTTTTCGCTCATCGAAGTTTTAGGAAAAGGTAATCGATAACGAACGATACTCTCGTATAACGGTAATAATTACAGGCGAGTCGAAAATAAAGAGCTCAACTCGAGCTGCTGCTTAAACAATCATGCATTACTTCGAAAATTCCCATAATAATAAAGGAAAAAAATCCTAGGACGAGTACACAGCAAAAAATAAAAATAAATTTTAAATATACGCATGAGTGACGCGTTTTACACACATAGTTAATACAATAATTCAAATTTCAAGATGAGCTTGGCAGATATGCTGCAACTCGTCCTCGTGTCGCTTTGAGCACCTTCAGCATTCATATACTGTATGCGGAAACTCTCCTAACAATCTTTCCCCAAACTTGAATTCAATTTGGAATCCTTCAAAAATTGTCCGTGTTTTGTTGTTGCTGCTGCTGGTGGTAATAATGTTACCAACACTTACAGTATATATACTCGTATATATACAGCTGCATCAACACCCGCTGGCGGAGAACGTCGGGTTCACAAATGCAGAAGCACGAATCAAACCTTATATACTCTGGGGACACAGAAGCCCATGAAGTCGGATCTTGAGACTTCTGTACAGATCGCGTGATGCTGGGCAGCCTCCGCGCGGGATACAGTGGCTCAGTCACACTCCAGCAGCTATTCCGCCGTCCTCTCATCTGCTGCTCTGTTCACGCAGTTACAATATGTGAACTATATTCTTCCGCATCATTGATACTTCGTTGTAACTATTCTGCTGGTTTTACATTGTGATTCTCGACATTTTCCGGGCGCGTGCGCGAAAAGAAAACAGACGACGACATGGCGTTGATTAATCACCCGCGTCGAGCAGATGCAGTGGGCATCATCTTTTCCCTCGCAGTCGCCATCTTGATTGGCGTAGCTCATCTCACGCATGGTGAGTCAAGAATTTTCGACTTATTTCGTGTTTTTTTCCTTCCTTGCAAGTCATTTTGACCTTTTTTGGAACTGCGATAAACTGCGAGAGCCTAAATTAGACGCGATAATTATAACAAAGTGCCCACAGAAATTCGTACAGTCTCATATTTAATGACCTAATGATGTATTATTCGATACTATTTGTGCCTCGCTTGGTGATATAGTGTTGATATGTAGATTGTAAACCTTTTCAGAAGAAACAGATAAAACTTCACGTTGTTTGTAAATTATTCTGTGGAGATTTTGTTTATGCGAAGGCAGAATGTTGAACAATGTCATCCACAGAATGAGTGCTTATTTACCTTCAAGAATGGAAGGAAAAGATTCAGGATAAACCTTTTTCCAAGGTACATATAAAGTAACAAATTACCTAGAACTATATGAACTTAATTAACTCAAATGTACACTTTTTATTTAAAAAATTTTGTGTGGGATCTTTTTTTGGCAGAAAGCAACACAAAATTGTGTGAGTAGCCCCTCGTAAAAAAATGAATATGGCCAATATTGGAGTATTCCACGGAGATTTCAAGTTTAGTAGTGTATTATGTAAAAAATTATTTCAAGAATTTTTAGAGTTATTTTTACAATTGATTTCAAAATTTGCTGCCTTGCCTTGCCTTTCCTTTTTTCTGTTTGAATAAAATCTTGCAAGTTGTTGGTTCCCCAATAAGATGGACTTGGACAAATAAAAGCTGACTAGGGATTTCATTAATTTCCTACCGCAGCTTCAAGTTCTGTTTCATGGATCAGGACTGAAACCTGACAAATTTGAAAGATTCAGTGGTATTTTTATTGTTATTAACACTGGGGAAGCTAAGCCAGGATGAATAAAAAAAAACTATGTCCAGAAACGTAAGAAAAGTGAAACTGGTTACTTATAGGCACTTAATTAGTCCACGAATTAGAAAATATTCTTCGATTTCCTCAGACAATTTTTGACGAGTGGAAAAGAGGCTCAAAGCTGAGGGGTTTCCACCGTCAGCAAAAAGATTAACCTCTGATATCCAGGAATTATAGTATTATGGAATCTTGTTACAGCAAATAATATTATAAAAAATTAGCAGGTCCCTGTCGAATAGCCGACATGTTATTTTAATTCCTTTATGACGCATTTCTTGTTATATAGCAAGGGCTTTTTCCGGTCCCAGTGGCTTTGCTTATAACAAATTTTACTGAATATCTCTACGCTGGACTCAGCCAATTTTTTTTAATGTTTATACATTGTGTCTCAGGTCACACAGAAAAATTTCCAAATGCCTCTGCAAAAGAAAACCCCTGATTGTGCTCTGCCATGGGAATAAACTATCCTCCACTTTCTAAAGGTTAAATGACATTTGTCCTGGACTCAGTAATTTTTTTCTCTGGCTGCATAGGTGTCGCATGATTAGGGACATTTTGTAAGAGCTAACTTTTGAATCAGGTTAACCTATACTGGATTGCCTTAGGTCAAGGCAGGTTGAGATTCAGGTTTCTTTTTAGTCAGCTTCGTGATTCCTGTATGATGACACCCACACAGCTGCTGATACAGAAAATAAAATTTGAACTTCAAGCAGGAACTGCTGTAACTTTTATGTTTTTGAGAATGAATATTTTCAAGACCATGTTTTTGCCCACAGAAAACATACAACACGAAGAAGGTGTTTATGCTTTCTTTAATAGCCGGGTATTACACAAGCGTCTGGCATGTGTCACGCGTGCCACTGATTAATCGCTATGCGACAGCGTTTGCGATGCGACAAATGGAGGAAATAAGGGAAATGATACGTTAAATAAATAAATATATATATATATTTGAGTGTTCATCTGAATAGAAAAGTCGACCTTATTATACTCGGATAAAAAATACTGCAAATCAATTTTGCGGTTTAATTACGACAGGATCAATTGAATCAATGGGATACGAAATCAGGCTGCTTTTGGCGCCGTTCCAGCGGAAACAATTTATTTATCTTTGTGTCGCAAGGAGGAACATGGTTCAAAGAAAACAATGCCCATCGATGGAATCTGTGAACTGACACCGATTTTTGCCTGTAGGGCACGACAGGTCCGTCGATGGGAAGAATATCATCGACCCTAAAGGGTTCAAATGATATACGACTCCCGACTCGTCGCCTGTCAACTCCGAAACTAGACCACATAACGAAAGTCTCGGATCAATGCTGGCCCGTGTGACCCAGAAATCCGTTTCAATATATATTTTTATAGATCAGTTTTAAAAAACATCCTTCCTGTTAAATTTTTTAAATGAATTAATCAACTGTTAGCCCTCATCAAAAAATTATAAGGCAAATATCCGCAGGAATGATTCTTTTTATTACGTCTGAAATTCTATTTTTTGTTTCTTTTTTTCTGGATATTTCTTCAAAAAAAAAATATTATTAACAATTATCGAAAAAGGAACAATTGAAAAAAATAGAATGCGATAAATTTGGAATTTATTAATGCATTGAAGAAGTTTAAAAATGCTCAAAAAAGGAACAAAAATAGAATTGATATTTAAAAATTTTTACGTTAAATCAAGAAGAAAGCTATTGGTCGAAATTAGCCTATCATATTTAATTACAAGTTTTTATAAAACTTTTATGAAGAAAATTGAGTCTCCTGATTTAAAAATTAAGGCGGTAACAAAATAATTTTTGAATGAGTTCTAGAATATTTAAAATATTGATGAAGTATTCATGTTGCATTAGAATAATTAGTTTTTCTACTTGAATCACACTTCTCCATTTGAATTTAAAGGTTAACAACTTTTTGAATGTATAGTTGGAAAATCCTTCTTTGAGTTGTCGTGGCTGACCTCACATCCGTCGATTCAAACAAATTTGAGAGAGATTTAATTAAAATGAGTTGAGTGAAAATTTACTGAAATGTAAATTTCAGTAAATCTATGCATCTTTTGCGTCTGTTTATGTTTCCTGATCGGAAGCTGTATACATTTTATTTCACTTTATTGATTGAAATTCAGTTGATTGAAACTCATCGTAAAGAACCCCTGAAAAGGCTCATCCCGCGCAGTTGACGCACGAGGGTTCTAACAAAAGTTCTCAAAGTAGCAATGAAAATGGCCTACAGTTGAGCTGAAAAAAAATTTTCTTTAGGGAAAACATATTCTTTGGGACACAAAAAAATATCAGCCCTGTTTCACAATTTTTTTGAATTTTTTTCATAATTCAACCTGGCAGAGTTTTGCTCTCCAGCACTCAAAAGATGAGGCGTTCTTTTTTGTTGTAGCCCAGCTTTCCCCTCAGAATTTTTGAAATCAACTTGGCGTGCTTTCTAAGGGTTGCCTCCAGATCTTCCAAGGCAATTAATATTATTAACAATTATCGAAAAAGGAACAATTGAAAAAAATAGAATGCGATAAATTTGGAATTTATTAATGCATTGAAGAAGTTTAAAAATGCTCAAAAAAGGAACAAAAATAGAATTGATATTTTAAAATGTTTACTTTAAATCAAGAAGAAAGCTATTGGTCGAAATTAGCCTATCATATTTAATTAAAAGTTTTTAGAAACATTTTATGAAGAAAATTGAATCTCCTGATTTGAAAATTAAGGCGGTAACAAAATCATTTTTGAATGAGTTCTAGAATATTTAAAATATTGATGAAGTATTCATGTTGCATTAGAATACTCAGTTTTTCTACTTGAATCACAGTTCTTCATTTAAATTTAAAGGTTAACAAATTTTTGAATGTATATAGTTGGAAAATCCTTCTTGGAGTTGTCGTGGCTGACCTCACATGCGTCGATTCAAACAAATTTGAGAGAGATTTATTTAAAATGAGCTGAGTGAAAATTTACTGAAATGTAAATTTCAGTAAATCTATGCATCTTTTGCCTCTATTTATGTTTCCTGATCGGAAGCTGCATACATTTTATTTCACTTTATTGATTGAAATTCAGTTGATTGAAACTTATCGTAAAGAACCCCTGAAAAGGTTCATACCGCGCAGTTGACGTACGAGGGTTCTAACAAAAGTTCTCAGAGTAGCAATGAAAATGGCCTACAGTTGAGCTGAAAACAATTTTTTTTTTAGGGAAAGCATATTCTTTGGCACACAAAAAAATATCAGCCCTGTTTGACACATTTTTTTGAATTTTTTTCATAATTCAACCTGGCAAGAGTTTTGCTCTCCACTCAAAAGATGAGGCGTTCTTTTTTGTTGTAGCCCAGCTTTCCCCTCAGAATTTTTGAAATCAACTTGGCGTGCTTTCTAAGGGTTGCCTCCAGATCTTCCAAGGCAATTCCGCCATTTTCATCAACAGCCGCCTTCACAGCCGCCACATTGGCCGCCACTTTGGCGGCTGTGAAGGCGGCTGCTGTGGTCATTTTCATTGCTACTCCGAGAACTTTTGTTAGAACCATCGCATGTTAGGTGATGATGCAAAGAATCCAATTTTTCAGGATCGAAAACACCATCATCATGAATTCATTTAATAAGTTTTTAGCACGTGAAGTTCTCAGTTGAAAAATCTGCTGGAAGGCGGTAAAAAAAGTTTTTTTTTCAAAATTTCGTCTTCCAAATATATATAGGTAAAATGATCACATGCGTCTGCACAACTGCCTACTGCGTCACACAGCGATTGCCAACTTGCAAGGCCAAAAGCATGTGCTTTGCGCAAATTATTCACCACACCGGAGAAACTCCCGACAACTCGCCGATTACCAGAGGCTGCATCAGGTAGCCTTTTCTTCGCCTCCTTGGAAATTCGCAAACAAAAAAGTCTGTAATCAGTCGACTGATTTTTTTTCAATATCTTTTACTCAAATCAGCGGCAAGCCTCCGCTGTTGTGCCAAGCAAAGCAACCGAGAGTGAAGTACGAAAAATGGCCATATTTGCTATGTTGTGATCAGAACTTATGCAATCAGGGACTCACTCCGACGATTCCTTCTGCGACTTTTAATGAGTCTGGATTGTTGACTAGTACAGCGTCAACGAAAAGTAAGCTTTAAAAAATTATTACTGTACTGTAAATTATCAGGATCGATTGGATTTGGTCGGAAGTACGCAAAGAAATTTATCTCGGTAATATCAATGATTTCTACGCATTTTTGCTTTGCAAACGAATAAGGAAAAATTCAAGAGGTAAAACGATCACTTTCCTTCCGGGGCTCGAAATAACAAACTTACAGAAAATTTAATTGACGCAACCTATTTTCCATTTTTTTGTGATTTAAATGAAAATCACCGAATGAATTGCCTTCACTTGATTACTTAAAAAGTAACATGGAAAAGCTATACCCTTAGTTGAATTTAGCCCGGTTCGAGTAAGATTTTCTACACATTTGTGCGCAATTGACAAGTATAAGTTTTAAAAGGAAAATGAAAGTCTCTAACACGCATGTTAGTTGTCTAAAAAAAATAGAAGAAACGCAGATCAAGTAAAACGATGTACAAAAATGCGTCATATTTGCTTTTTTTTAGAGACCAGACATTTTATCACAAAGAAACAGTCATGTCTGTATTTGATTATAATATTTTCATCGACATTGAACTATACTGCGAAATCTGGTGTCAGAAAGAAAAGCGAAATTGCTACTCGCTATATAAGGTGATTGATAAATTTTCTTTTTATCAACAGTCTCCACGACATCGACAATGGGAAGGATAACGTTGAGCTACGAAGATTTGCAGTTGTTCGCGGATAATTTGCGACCGAGGGAAAATTCAGGACGCGGTTTCGAATCTGGAATTTTTTCCAAATTGAACCCGTTGTCACTCGGGGTTTTGCTGCTTGGAGTCATCCTCATGATTTCTGTTGCTGCTCTCGGAATCTACATCCTTCGAAAGCAGAGGTTTGCTGATATTCATGTGTGTTTTAAATTCTGAAGTACTAACGGATTCTGTCCTATGGAGCAGTAAATTTCAAATTTTGCTTCCTCCGAGCATTTGGAATACTTTATATGTACAAGTACTTTCCTGGTGGTCTGTGGTTGCTAATAAAAAATATAAAGCGGTTCATAAAATTGTATACCTATCTGTGCCGTAATATTCCAAAAACCATATGATTCACATTATTATGGTTCAATTGATGAAATTTAACTATAAGCAATCCATATACGAGCTTTATTTTACAATTTCTAATGAAATGAAGTTTTTGCTTTGACCAGCAAGAAATTGACGAGCCTGTTTCCGATAGTCAAATAAAAAATAATAATGTAAACTGTTTAGTACAGTGTTCCCCTTTACCTGTTTTCAGTGCCAAAATTTTATGAAACTTTGTCGGTCCCCAGAAACTGTTTGAAAAATTTGCCAGTCCACAAAAAAATTTTGGAAAAATTATTGCTCGGATAGACTTCATGGTAAGTACAGTATTTAAAAATTTTATGTTTTTCGAAACTTAAGAGTCTATGAAGCAGCTAGCGAGGATTGTCTTTAAAAAATCATAAAGGTGGACTTGAAAAGTTTTTCAGAATGAAAAAATAATGATTAATTTCAGCAGGTGCAAATTTGTCAAGGTGTTACTAAGGGAAAAGCCTACTTTCATTTTTTCATCAGATAATTTCAACTACCATTGTCTCTCCAAAATTTCAGGCAAAAAACAAACTGCATCACTATTTTTTATAAAATTTATAATAGTGTACTGCAGAAATTTTCCCGTGGCCCGGTAAAAAACTTTGGCGGCCCGCGGGCCATGGCTTGGGGAACACTACTAATTATAGTAGACCTCCAAGCACCAGAATAAATTTCCCTTTATGTTTGGGGAAGAAAATAGCACAGATGATGGAATGCTATGAGAAAAGTCTTGTGCCATCGCTAAAAATAATCCAAGAAAGGCCCGACTTGTCACTGGGGGAATTTCCACAAATAAATTCGAAATGCGTCAGGCGAAAGCAGCAGGCTTTTCACCAACCCTCATGTATTAAAGCTGCTCTGATCCCTTTCCCCAGAGAAATCGAGACGAAAAATCATTTTAATTTGAGGGCATTTAGGTTCAGAAATAAATAGTTTTGCGGAATACTATATACAATGCCTTAAATGTACCTACAGGCATGATGTACTGCACGATATGTCCAAATACTGTTTTAGAAATTAAGTTGTTCATCTTTCCTATATGCGATTCCTCAGCAAAATGGCACAACAAGCTGCATCTCTTTTCACACAAGGAACCTTCGAACAGGCTCCAGACAACGATGATCTATTGCAGGGCGTCCCGGTTAGTGGACTGCTGCTTCCTCGGAATTTCCAGTGTTTGAATAATCCGAATTTCCTTCATCACGCTCGCCGTCCGACTGCTGAAGAACACATTTTGGAACCACTGAACAAAAATTCCAATTGCAGGGTTTAACGCAGTGCGTTTGAAGTCGTGGATTTTATATTTCTATTAAATTTTTGTGCGTGTCGTTAAACGTTAAAATGAGATGGGTTTAGGAAAAAATGCCGGGAGATTAAAATTCCAGAGTGTCATGATGGAATGCTTCGTTTTTCATAATTTTCCTCGTGGGATTTGCTGATTGAAATGATAAGCCCAAAAAGTTTTTGTCGAAAAAGAAAATGAATTCGAGCTAATATTGAGCGACCCCTTTTATATTCCTGTGTCTTTTTCCAAGATGAGCCCAAAAGGCGAATTCATCGATACTCCTTCATCGATACTGATTCATTTTTTATTTGAAGAAATCTGACATTTAAAAGCATCATTTTCTATTTGTTGTGCATTGATGAGATCATGACATTGATTTATCCTACACAATTTGTTGAATTTTTTCGTTGAAACTGACTTTCCGATGATGCAATTTGTATCACTGGCATTTTAAATCCTGGCACTTTCTCCAAAAGTTGATGTTTTCTCATGTTACCTATATCAGAAAGAATGTTACCCATTGGGGAAGAATGTGGGCATTTTTGCACCGGTGTTTTGGAGAAATATTTGAGAGATCTGACTGAGGCTAATTGTTTTCGAGTGACATTTTTGTGAGCTGAAAAATATGAACGCCATGCGTGTTTTATCGCCGAAGTTGACGTCATAGTTTTGAATATTGTGACCGCGTCAACTGATTTCTGTCGAGATAACTTGATCACTGTGTCTTTGAAATGTTGGAAATCATCAATAAAAAGCTCTGAATTACTAGATGAAGACTTGTTGAATTTAAGGTAGTGTTTATAATGCTGTGTTATGAACGGAATGCTTCATATGATATTGTGTTTAAATTTTAAAAAAAAGATAACAAAAATTCGTGATCTAATTTTTTCCAGGTTTTATTGTTTTATGGTTCTGTGCTGTAAACATTTGTGCATCCGAATTCCTTCATGAAATTAATAGTGTAATTAGAAATATGCGAAAATATTTATGATCTGCGCATCGGTTAAACTAGAATAAAGAAAATGGTCACGATTGCGAAATAGTTTTTTTTTTACGAATAATATAAAAATTGCCTTTTTTATAAGCGCTGCTATTAAATTTGTGCATTCTTGAATTATTGTATTGTACTGTACAGTATTCGTAGATTATCAAGAAATCCGAGCTTTTTTGTTCACATACCATATGTCGTATAATTTCATTTCAACCCGCATACACGTGTTTTCGTGGATAGGATGAGAATGTCAGAATAAAGGCATTAGTTAATAAATTGATTACTTTACAATGAAAAAATCAACTAAGTACATGTACATGATGGAGTCTGAATTTGCTCAGAGGGAATTCTTGGAAGAAAACCCTCGAGGAGATTTTTGTCAACTGTATATAAAAAGGGGAGCAGAGCGATAAAATTTGATTTACTTTTCATTTTAAAATGAAGACCTCGAAAATGAAAGAAAAGGATTAACGTCATACTTTTCATGAAATTCTTTGATTTTATTTTTTTAAATTTTCGCCGCAAAAGGTGAAGCTTTCGTCTCGACGCGACGCGCGTGAAACGAAACACGCGGCGAGGAATAAAGCCGCACGGACGAACAACGGAGCTTCGGAATCCGATTGCGAACACGTATAGTGAAATCCCCGATGAAATCTCTCGTATTTTTGTTGGATCTTTTGTTTTTCTGGTTCTAAAACCTGTCGGATTTCCGAGGAAATCCGATATAGTTCTCTCAGGCACGTCGGAGCTCGCTTGCTCCGATTTCTCCCAGTTTTCTTACCAACGTCGCGTCGGACTTGCAGTGATTCGAAACAAGAAAAAAAATTCAACCGAATTTTTGTGAATAAAAGTTTGAAAATTCTCTGCTTTTATTGAATGAAAACTTTTCTGGTTTGATTGTTTTTATCGGGCGATGGCCGGTGAGTGGCTGTTATTCTGGGTATGAAATCTTGCCACATAATTGCTCGAACAGCACAAGACCATTCAGATCGTTCTATAAAAAAATTCTAAGCGATATATTTTTCAGAAGGTCAAGTTTTATCGAATCTCTTGAATCCCAATTTATTATTTTATTGGAAATTTCTTGAACAATGAAATATTGTAAGACAACAGAAAGCGAAGCGAAATGTAGCCTTGTCGCCGAGTCGAAGCAGTGGAACGACACAAGATAATTTTTAAAGTTATTCTGACAATCTTGAACACAAAATTGTCTTCCATTACTTTTTTCAAGAACTACGGAATACATTACTATAGTTATTTGTAAGTGGGATCCACTCCACTTGGGATGTGACTTTTTTTTCACATATCAAAAGTATATACTATAATGAGGTTCCAACCCGGACACCCTCATCGAAGTGGTATCGGAAACAAAAATTTCTCTCACGAAAAATTGATCTACTTTCGAGATATGCGCTTTAGCCGGTTTCGCAAAATAATTCAAGTATTGCTTTTTAAAATGTAAATATTTGTTGATTCATTAAAATTCAGCATTCGACTTTCCTCTAGTGAAAGTGACGAAGAAGATTGTTTCTTCATCGATTGTACAGACGGCCTTTCGGGTTCGATTCATTCACAAATGAAGATAGAATCCAATAAAAAGTATAAGATCTTTGAATCTACGTCTGTGATTTCAATAAAATCAACTTTAAAGTTAAATTATTTCTCAATATATATTGTAGCTTCCGGTCAAATGGGTATGTCAAATGTTTCGGGGGTGGGGATGCGACGAGGGAACCTTGAAATAGCATGATTTTCTCATCAGTTTGCATAACTTCGAAAAATCGCTTCGATGATGAATACATTTTCCTAATTTACTGTCAGGATATCTTGGGCTTGCGAAGTAGTGTGATTGCGGAAAGCGTCGATCGAGATGAAGTTTTCCGTAGCTGGAGCTCGGAACATGATGGCTTCGGCGCTGACGCCGGGTACGGCTGGGACCAGCAGCGGATCCGCACTCGTCGTCCCCGCTGTGCCTGACGCTGAAACGCGACATCTACTCGCGGGCAAAGAAAGCAACAGCGCCGTGATTGACTCGGACTACGCTTCCGGACAATACCGCGGCTTTCGCGCCGGCACCGGAAGGGATTACGCTTCTTTCTACGTCAGTTTGCAGATCTAAATGTGTCTCAATACATTCCAATGAATTATACACACAACAAGACATACATGTGTCCCAAACTCCAAATTACATGGATTTGTGTAATGCTTTTAAATGCCTAATTGGTTTCATACCCCCAAAAAGTACCCCATTATAGCTTGATATGAATAAATTGTTCTTTAACGGTTCATTTTTTTCTAGTTGTTCCAGTTGTTATTCTAAGCAAGGTCCTAATTTTTCTATTTGTTCTATACACTGTAGTTGTTCTAGTTTTCCATATACTTGTTCTAGCAACTTCTAGCTGTTCTAATTGTTCTATATATAGTGGTTCTAAATAGTTGTTCTAGTTGCAAATAGTTGTTTTAGTTGTTGCATATACTGCTGTAGCTCTTCCAGTTGTTGCATATAGTTGCTCAAGTTATTGCATATACTGTAGTTCTTCTAGTCGTTGCTTATATTTGTTCTATCTGTTGCACATAGTTGTTCTAGTTGATGCATATACCTGTATTTACTTGAGTACCACACGCACCTTTTTTACAGAATTTCAGAAGAAAAAAAGGGGTGCACATCATAAGCAGGTGTCGGGCTACGGACGCCGCTGCCAGGCCAAAGGTAGCGGTGTCATACCCGCCCGCATGCGCATGGCGAGAGAGAGGGAGAGGGAGAAGAAAGTCGGAGCTCGGGCTCCAACTTGGACGTCATCGTCNAAAATCGCTTCGATGATGAATACATTTTCCTAATTTACTGTCAGGATATCTTGGGCTTGCGAAGTAGTGTGATTGCGGAAAGCGTCGATCGAGATGAAGTTTTCCGTAGCTGGAGCTCGGAACATGATGGCTTCGGCGCTGACGCCGGGTACGGCTGGGACCAGCAGCGGATCCGCACTCGTCGTCCCAGCTGTGCCTGACGCTGAAACGCGACATCTACTCGCGGGCAAAGAAAGCAACAGCGCCGTGATTGACTCGGACTACGCTTCCGGACAATACCGCGGCTTTCGCGCCGGCACCGGAAGGGATTACGCTTCTTTCTACGTCAGTTTGCAGATCTAAATGTGTCTCAATACATTCCAATGAATTATACACACAACAAGACATACATGTGTCCCAAACTCCAAATTACATGGATTTGTGTAATGCTTTTAAATGCCTAATTGGTTTCATACCCCCAAAAAGTACCCCATTATAGCTTGATATGAATAAATTGTTCTTTAATGGTTCATTTTTTCTAGTTGTTCCAGTTGTTATTCTAAGCAAGGTCCTAATTTTTCTATTTGTTCTATATACTGTAGTTGTTCTA